CCCATCTTTATTTGGGCCCATTAACCAGTCGCTTCAAAAGTCTAAGCGCCCAACAAAACATGTATTCAAAGTGTTTACAGTTTCAGGACCACTCCCACTCCCACTAGCACCAAAGTGGACCTTTGAACCTGCTCTCCGATGCCTGGTGTGATCTGTGATGCAGCTCCGCTTGGTGGATAATACACCACATGAACAGATGGACAGAGGGGAGAAAAGAAGAACTCACTGTCTCCCTAGTGCAATCACATGCCTGATGCAATTGTCAGTGCAGATGTCGTAGCAACAAAGAAAAAAATGCAGGACAAAATGTCACATGCAGCTTACGATAATTCACATGCAGCCTTGTGATGAGCAACATCTTTGATCTAACCGCAATCATGGGAAGCTTCAGAATGTAGGAAAGGCCACTGTCACGCTCAAAGTCTCTTCTGTACTGATGAGGAGTATAATTTTAAAAATATCGTCGGCTTGATCAAGCGGCCTGAATTTGACGCCCCGGCTGTTAGATGGTCAGAATCAGCTGGTGGTTGGCTGCAACCTTCATCTCCAAACTAAATAAATGGCACACCACTTTGGTTTTTTCGTCCCCCCTAGGACACAATTACTTTCAAATCGATCGACTCCAACTGCACTTGTTACTTTCAAATCGATCAACTCCAACATCACATTCCACAAATTCAAAACAGTACCATACTTACTAACTGAATGTTACTACTGCACAATGATCAACAGTAACATGCGCTGCGTGATTGATTAGTTTATGGGAGGTGAGAGAGCGGCCTCACTGACCACAAGTCCACAAGATCCTACAAAGGTATTTTCTTAGTAACAAATTTGCTAATCATGAAGGGAATCCTCCCATCTAATCAGGCCCCATCCTCGGGGGAGGGAGAGGAATAATGCGGCGTGCATCACATTGCCTGTCTGCCTTGGGGAGCAGTAGCTGCCGCTCTCGCTCACCAACTTCCCAATCAAGACAAGATGGAAATGGAGGTGCCTATTTGATTAATTCTGCTGCTGCTACACTATCAATTATACTTTTGTCTAGCCTTCGTATAAATATGCAGTGGAAATGTGCCATTGGAGTAGGAGGGTTCAAGCAAGGGTTTAACAAGTGAGGATGGCTCGCTCACATGGGAGGTGTGTGCGCTTCAGTGGCACATCACATGCCTACCGAAAGGGGTTTCCTAGTAGCTGCCTGGAGCAGTGGAGGAGGATCTTGCCCTTGTGGGTGCATAATCTACTCCAATCTCGGCCTTTTCAGTTTAATATTCAGATGGTTTTTATAGGATCATGCGTTTTTGTTGTCATCATTAGCGTCGATGCGCGAGAGCGAACACTGCACTATCAGAAAGCCACTGCACAAAACCTCGACAGATTAGGTGGGTTGTCTTGTTAATATCAGGATCTACCAAAATTAGCTATGATTAGGGTTTTTACCGATGAAAGCGCAACACTTTTAGTTGACCTTTTTTTTCCTCGGCGCAATAGTAGCTACTACTAAGTTGACATTTTCGGCGTGTACAGGGTTACCATCAGCCTAAGACTGGCATAATTATTGTTAAACATTCACTAATGGCCTTTCGACTTGTGTGATCTATAGAGTTGCCTGGTTATAGCTATAGTTAGTTCCTACCTAAGATTATCCACCAAGGTACGCCGTTGAGAGATTAACAAAGCGAGCAACCTAGCTGCCCTGCACCAACTAGCATGGATATACTTCTCCAAATTCCCTGCAACCTTTTCACAGATCCTACAGCACGAGATATACTAAGGTGCCACTTGGTGAATAACTAATTTTGTTGTTTAAAGCAAAGACAAGAGATTACAAAATTACCAGACTGGTTCCTTTCCATGTTGATTAAGTAGAAGAAAAGCAAGGCGTCATGTGAAGGGAGCCTCAAGTCACATGCTGCCCTACCCCCATGCTACTATACTCCACAAGAACAGGTTGTTGATTCCTGGAGGAACAGGTCAGGTTTAGCTCGCTTCTCCCCAGCCCATAGGCCATAACACAAAGGATCAATATTTCTTTTCCATCCCTGCTGGTTACCTTTTTAACTCTTCTTTTTTGCTGGGCAAATATGGCCAGGTTGGGAAATCACATGGATCGATACGCTTGAGGCAGAGCTGTAATCAGCTCGATCACATGGGGGAAATTGTTTCCAATCTACTCCTCTTTGGATGTTGTTGGGCGTTTCTTTTCATGCTACCACAACAAGTTTGGGCACCAGGATTAGTCTAGTTAGATTAAATTTACAATGACAGACCGGTAACTTCTCTGCGAGAATTACTCGGCATCTCTCTAAAATGCGAATGTACAGTTGGAGAGTAGTTGGCCGACCACACATATTCTTTTCTTGGTTTATTTACAGAAGAAAGAGATGTGGGAAGGGAGGGTATATACTTTTTCTTGGGTCACATCCAATCCAACCCATCTGTTTCGTAGGGGAAAAGGAGATAAGAAGGCGACCGAATTTACAGCTAAATTGACATGTACTTACTGTTGGGTTGGGTGCATGCATTGTACAGACAGCTAGTGCAAGTGGGTGTTGTGGGGTTCTACTTGTAGGAACCAGCTGCTAAATGCTAGTTAAGCGGCTGCTTTTGCATCTGGATTAAGCGTGGGCATGCTCGACACGAGCCTAACAGCCTGGTTGATGTTGTTTGTGTACATGCATAGATTCCATTTCGCATGCAGGCCCTACACACACTACACCCAACGGTATACTATGATCAGCACTAGTAGTAGATAAAGAAACAAATGCTGCTCATGGCCTGTTTCTTACACCGGCTGGCATGAAATGAAGGCAGGAGGTGCCTGTCCTCCACGCGCTGCCGAGATCATGTCATGTCATGTGTGGGTTCCAAGCAGAAGCGCTCCATGACTGCACTGGAGTGAACTAATTCATGCAACTAGATACCAAATGAACTCTAGGAGTGGTAGGAGTGTATATGAGCATCTAGTATCTACATCTGCGTGGATCTTTTCTTTCCCCCAAGGGAGAGAGGACGCAGACGCATCATCTCCTGATCCGTGCATGATCCACCCAAGTTGCGCCGGAGCCAACCAATAATTCGTCGCGCCCAAGTACACATGGAGGCATGTGGCATTCAAAACATTTTAAAAACCGGAGGGTGGCGCTGGTCCCCCGCTGCATTTCTGTCCGGGCCAAACCGATAGGAGTAGTAGATAGAGAGAGGGACTGGTACCGGAGCCGCGGGTCACACGCCACAGCACACACGCCAAGAAACCTTCTCCCCCCAACCTCACCTGTGATTGATTGATTCTGTGGTGAAAAAACGCCGGGAATATATGGGTACGTATCGATTGGAGAGGGCTGACCCAGCCGGAGTTATTCGCCTCGGATCATGTGCTGGCTGCGCCTGCTTGATCGATGGATGGATGGATCGCTCGTGTGCCGTGCTGTCGCGTGTGCGTTTCCAGTTCAGGGGCATGGCCCAACCCAACAGCTTGCAACGACGTGCATGCATGCTTGTGTGTTAATTGTAACGAACACGGTGTTTCCACGCTCTGTTCGTACTGCCTCCGGCCTTCCTTTCGTTTCCATGTTCATTTATGTCCGTGGTGATTCGTTCATGTGATGGCGATTTGTGTAGTTTGCGAGAGAGGGAAAATGTGGAGCGTCGATATCAGAGGGGAAAGAGTGAGGCGTCACAGACCCCTACCAGAAGGGGATCCACATCCACAGGTTGGCCCCTGGCCCCTGACTGAAGTGGTTTGGGTTTGGGTTGGGAGATGGACAGACGGATGGTGGCCGTGCAGCTAGAGCAGAGAGGGATATCCTGCTCCTGCTCCGGCTCCGCGCTTGTTGGATCGGATCGGATCGGAACCGGACGGAGAGCCCAGCATAGGCCCCATTAATCATCCCTGAAAAAGCCTGTAAATGACGGCAGTTGTGCGATTTTCATGGGCGCCCGTCCGGCGTAGCTTGTCCGTGCATGCATGCGCGCGTGCGTGCCGCACAGTCTAGATAGATAGCAGGGAAGTGATCTGAACTGGACAGGTGCACCGCGGGGCGCCACTGGAACTTGATCCCATCGCATGCGGAACGCTACAAGTGGCGGCCGCTCCCCATTCGCTCGCTACGTACTCCGTCACGTGACATTTATCTTCCTGTTTCCTCTCTTTCTTTCTTTCTTTCTTTCTTTTCAGAGGATTTCAGCCCCTGTGAAACGGAATTTCAATCTGTCCACGCCAGTGAGAACTACCCAAGGCTCAGCCTCACCCCCCTTCTCCCCCTCTCACCATTACATCCAAAATCATCATGCAAGCTGCTTCTTGGTTCTGGATCTGCAACTACTCTCTCGCCTTAGAGTAGGAAGTACGCGTCGGTGCCAAACAGATCCTGATGTAACTGCATTTAGGAACTGGTTCTTGCGGAGCAGGAGCACCAATCCAATCCAATCCAATCCAAGCTTATGATCATGTACATGGCGGCATTGATCTTTTCCATTATGGTAAAGCACGCACTAAAGACTGCCCGGGCCGGGGCTTGGCTCAACAGAACTGGACCAAACGCATCGGTTAGCTACAAGACGCCAAGGAGTGCAGGGCCACGCAAACATCGCATTCATCACCGTGCGACCGACCGCCATCAGTGCCGCCCATCCAACACACTGACCCACAACTTCCCGTCATGATCCAATCAACAACTTTTATGATAGAGAGCAAGTTACAGTCGACATCCCTGCCTGCCTCTCAGATCAAGTACGCACACGCTTTCGAAGCTACCGCGGGCCAATGGCTGCAGCTTCGGTCACTTATATTCGATGAAAAAATGCAAGGGTCCATGTGTGGATTTGACTCAAGTGTCTCAATACAATACAGGAACCGAATAGCCCCCCAGTTGCGACGCGATAATAATCTTCCTAATTTCCCACTGAAATTGATCTTAAATAAATTTCACCAGCTTCTTCTAGACTTACGACAACAGAATATGGACTACATCAAATACACAATCACATCCTGAACTGTATCACAGCACGAAGAGAGAAGGTGGAAAGTCATGTAATACTACAAGGCACGGAAACCGCCGGTATGCATCAGCACAAGGCCTGAAAGCTTTTTCGATGAGAAAATAATATATGGGTGGTTTCAGACCCATTGAAATCATTGGGAAGGCAAGTCGCCATACTGCCACGGGTTGAACTCGATGGAGCTGACGTCCTTCTCCTTGGCAGCGACGCTAGAGCTGTCTATCGCAGCCCGGTGCTCGGCGTATCTGCCATTGTATTCATACACCTCCAGGTCGCCCCACGGGGTAGGGGAGATGTCTTCCGTCATCTTGAACCATTTTGGAGTAAATTGCTCCCCCTTGGTGTCCCGAATTTTCTTCTCAGCTCTTTGTTGTTCTTCAAGCCTGAAAGCATGAACACAAACATCAGATAAATACTGATGAAAGGCAAGCCACATTCCTCAAATGGCAATATGATTTGTAAAGTTGAGTTTCAGGCCGCAACAACTAGCTATGGGAAGTATAGAAAAGTCAGTAATTACCTGCTCTTGTGTGCCCCAGATTTAGACATGTCGCCCTTCTCAAGGGCATATCTGTCGGGCCTTAATCGGGAGTCTGAAGGCAAGAGCTTCTTAGGTGCTGTATCAAAGCTATTTATTTTGTGCGCAAAGTATGTATACTGGTACTTGTCATTCGGTGGAGCAGGAGCAGCTTTCCAGACCTGGGACAAGTACAATTTCAGCAGCAGCAAATATCCACTAGTAAGACAGCACGCCTAATATTAACCTACACTCTCTGTACTGATGAATACTGAAAGAAAGCCTTGCCTCTTTTAGCTCCGTCCCTGGAAGAGGATCACCTTCTTGATCACAAGGCTGGTAACTCATGGACTTGTTCCATTTTCCTGTCATCATTATTTTCGGTTCTTCAGCTGCAGTATATACATACCCATCCACCTCGAATCGCCCAGCCCTGACATAAACAGTAAGATGAGATGGGCCTAGCCGCATTATGAACTAGAATGAACTATTGAACTCTATGAATGAAAACAACCACATATGAGGCCGCATTGTAATGGGAGATTAAAGATCAGCAGAACTACTACAAAATACTAAACTGAACAAGGACGGTCAATACTAACATACCCAAACCAGCCGCATGGCTGGAAATACAGCACAGCTTTGTCTCCAGTTGTCAGATTTGTCAAGACCATCTCTCCAAAAGAGTCAACCCATGTGCGCCCAAATATCAAGTTGTTGACCTTCGTCAGTGGTGGTACCAGTTCCAACACGACACCGGATTTTTTAAGTGTCACTCTAGTCCTGTGAAAGAAACACGTTCAGAAGTTAGATATACATAAATGGTTTCTACAGAACCATGAAATCAATTTGCTATTTTAACCATATAATAAGATTTTTATAGAAGCTTTCAGACACAAATATATCCATACAAAATTGTATCTCAATCAATTACCTTCCAACTGGATACACTTCCACTGAGTTTCCCAAGAACTTTGTCTTCAACTTTGATGTGATGTCGTAAGTAAAATGATCATTCTCACAGTGAGCTGCACCCATCGGAGGATGATGGCTTACCTATGAAAAAATAGACTAAGAGAAGTGAATACAGTAAACAAAATGCAGAATTAACATGGCTGATTAACAAAGGGTAATAAAGAGTGAGATGGTGCATCTGTATGTTAACTATACACACTTGTTCATTGGAGGGGAGTGAAAAGGTAGTAAGTGCAGATAAAATACTTCCTAGTATGATGACCATCCCCAAAGTTAATTCAGCTTGTTTTTGCAATTGCAATATTTCACATCCATCACTAACCTGCTCAGCAATAAATGTAATACCCTGGTGGTTAACCATCTCATATGTCTCTCCAAGGATGGGATTGAAAGGCTTCCACGTACGGTGGTAGGCTAGGTAGGCTGACAAAGCCCATGTAGCTGAAAAGTAGGGTTCAAAGCTCAGTCAGCCAGAATATTGCATTAGAGTAGAGTTGCAGGTGAGGGAAGGGGAGACTCACAAGCATATACCATCCGCATGTGTGGATCCTCACATTCATCTGCTTTGTCTAACAGGTCACAATATTCCATCAACTGCATTCAGTATAAACAGCTGACATATTAGTAAATAATCGTTGTAAGATGCTGATAATTTATTGCCTGTAGATTCTACTGATAATTTATTGTCGGTAGACTCCATGCTATGCTTCGGCAAGAACAGGAAGAAACGGGAGAGAAATCAAAGAACGACTGGCTATTACAGATCTCCAGAACGACTGTCAATAGAATCTCAAAGGATGACTTAGCTGCTGATTTTCAGTATTTAACCTACAACCCTACAGTGACCAAACTTGCAGTCAAACACCAAAATAGGAATGCTATATATAAACTTTACGACTAAGAACCAACAGAAAATATATAGTACGGAGTAGCTAACTTTGATGAACCTTGACAGAAAATAGTTTACTGAAGGGGTCAAGTACTACTGATTATATACAGACTAAGACTAGGCACAGAATCAAACAACTGCAGACACATTGTTCAGTGTGTCAATTATGCTGTCTGTGGACTCTTGTCACTCTCCGTGGGGCTTTTGGCCTTGCTTGGCAGACCAATTGTTGCATTTTCACACTCTACCCTGGTCACTGTTTCTGTATGGTACAGTAGCTAAGATGTACAAACATTGAGAACTCTAAATCAGAACTTAGGACTACGAACCTCTGCCATTTTCTGAAGCATTGACATCGGCTCAAAGATGATGACTGGAAGTGTAACAAGTGACGTTACATCTGATCCTATGTACTTGTTCATCATCTTCCAGTAACTGTCGCGATCCTGCAAGTTGACTGCAGTGTCAAAAACATAAAGTGCAGCGATAATGGTATACAACTGAATTTTGAGGGCTTGTAAGTGCCTCGTCACTTTACTTGTTTTAGCTAGTAAACCAAGCACAGTTCTCGGAGTAATAGTTTCCTCTAGGAAGAACACCATAAAAAGGTGAAATGTTTATTGCACAACATGGCAGTCATTATTATACTTATCAGCAATCCATGACGCAGACCATCACACAAGATGCATAGAAGTTAATAGTTCGATAGAAACCAACAGCAAAAAATAAACAATGGCTCATTCTCACTAGTAATAACTCTTAGGGAGTTCTGATAACTGCAGTGTCAAAAATAGCATAGAATTCAGCAATGGACACAATAATGGTGTAGAACTAAAAATCGTGAGGGGTTCTGAGTGGCTCGCGATTTATGTTTTAGCTAGTAAACCAAGCACGGTTATCAGAGAAATAGTTCCTTCTAGGAAGAAAACCATAAAAAGGTGAAATTTTTATTGCACGACATGGCTGTGATTATTCGTGTGTTGCAGCGGAGTTGGATATATAGTTTATAAATACTGTGTAGAATACTAATTCAGTCCTTACGATTTAAATATGCAAGAAACTTCTGCATAAGAAAAAAACTTAGCATGAAAAGTTTTGCATGTCACAATTAAATGCAGTGTGATTTAAAACCAACTAAGAATGCATTGATGCATGTTGCATGGTAGAGGATTCTCATGCGTACATCAGACAGATGCTAGTGTATCAAGCTAGTAAATCTAACGGCTACAACAATTTTGATTTAGTGGAAGCAATGTGATTTAAAACCCACTTAGAATGCACTAATGCATGTTGCATGGTAGAGGATTCTCATGCGTACACTGAACAGATGCTAGTGGATCAAGCTAGTAAATCTAACGGCTACAACAATTTTGATGATGTGGAAGCAGTCAGCACGCATGTTGAGATAATTAGAAGTAGTGGGGATCACTCTCTTAGGTATATATAGGATAGGATTATCACTGAACCTACCGTTGTCACCATGGGTTCACCTCTTAATAAATAAGATTGATCAGATACAATGTTTTCCAAACATCAACATATGGTCTGTGAATCATGAGCAAACCATGCGCAAGTATACATCATAAACATGACTTTACTAAACCTGTGGGTTGATAATTAGATTGAGGTAGGGTCCAGAACTACAGATGACTAAATAGGTGGTATTTTGGCAACCTAATGACCAACACGAGTCCCGTGCAAAACCTAACGTCTGAATCAAATTTGCTAAACTAGTTCAGATATGCAGTGCCTCTGAAAGTCTGAAGAGTCCACTAAGCACATTGTTAAGGTATTATTTTTAATAACAAGACTTCAGCAGTGTGCTGACCTCAAATTAAAGGGGAGAATACTATCTTGAATCGCATGCTTCCAGGAGTTTTAGCTTCACATGTGGTAGAACTTAGTTGCAAGCTAAGCGCTTCAAAGATAACACCTCCATAAATATTTTTACCAACAAATGTACCTTATTCACGAAGTTGAGGTCCAGTTTAAGTATATTTTATTGAATTGAATGTAAAGTTGACTGGAATGTAAAATATTGTCGATCATGTCCAACTCTTTGTTTATCAAATACTTTCTTTAGGATAAGTTTATCAAATACTTTTGATGACCTAAGAAATGCACTCACATAGCATCAATGTAAGCCCCGAAACACTACATGTATGATTAAAGAGTTCATTAGTGCCTGCAAAGGAAATGCGGATCCAGAAAAACAAGCTTCAACGATCAGTTCCTCTTATGAGAATCTGATATGCATACAGGTTCATTTTATATTTAAATTTCGAGACTTGGTTTCATAATGGCTGAGTGTCTGAAACAATATGAGGTTATGCCTTCCCCGAAGAATGGATTATTGTTAAATCCTTGATCCTCACCTCCTGTTTCCATCGCCCCTTCATAGCCTCTGCTTCCGCATCGTCTGTGCCTCCATCTGGGTTGATAACTTCAAGCCCTTCATAGCCAACCAACCTGTAGACAGCACAAAACTGTTCATTAATTGTTTGAAAGTACCAAGTAAAGAACACAAATTTCTTCAACTAAAAGAATATATATTTACAGGGGAGACAGATAGACATCTGACAGCAAGCACATTTCAGAAGAATTCAAGCCGCAAAATGCAAAAGAGAAGAATAAAGTGAAGAGATGCCAAATGATGTGCATGTCACTTTCGCAGTATGCCAAACTTAAATCTGCATCCACCACTTGCGCCGCAATTCAGTGCAGAGCACACCCTGTCTGCTTTGAATTGCACATACAGAAATTGCATGTACTTAACTTTCACAATATCCTATTTGAGGCATTACATGCTAGTATACTAGATATCCAGAAAAAGAATCAACTTCAACCGATTATTGACTACTCCCTCCGTTCCTAAATATAAGCCCTTTCGAATGTAGTCCGTATTGAAATCTCTAAAAAAAGGCTTATATTTAGAAACGGAGGGAGTATATCATACTAGTATTAGGTAGGAATTGCTTTTTCTACATGCTGAACACACAGATCAGTGATCTCTACAGTGTTTCTACAAAACAGCAACTAAGCTACTCACCGGACAGTGCAATCATTGAGCTACAACAAACGATAGTACGAGATCATGTAACACTACGATCGCTAAAGTCTCGAGCTTGGAACTCAAACGAAGCACGCAATTCCACAATTCGCCAAAATCAGCTCACGGGGCCGACACCAAGGAGCTGAGATCGCGCGTGGAAGCAACAGATCAAATGGCGGAGAGGCAGCGGTAAGCATATGCATAGTTCCCGAAGAAATCGGGAGAGCTCGAGGCGGATCTGAAGAGATCGGGTAGGTAGGTAGGTAGGCCGGCGCGGAGACTCACCCGTTGACCGATTTGTGCACGGCGGTGCCCCAGCTGCGCACGCCCGCGGCGATCGAGGAGAAGAAGCCTCCGCCACCGCCCGACGACGCGGCCAGGTCCTGGTCCTTGGACCCCATCGCCGGCGATCTGCGCGGTCGGAGGGAAGCTCCGGCGCAGAGGAGTCGGGGAGGGGGATATGCTAGGGTTTGGGACGGCGCACGCGGAGGGGGCGGCCGCTAACCCCTGCCTAGAGGAGGTGGTGGTAGAGGAGCGCTGCTGAGGAGAGAGCGGCAGCGATGGCGATGGCGACGTCGCCGTGTGGGAGCAGGAATACTAGAACGAGACGAGAGAATTTGGAACGGCCGCGGGTGGTGAGAAGAAAAGGCCGAGCAGTCGGCGAAGCGAACCGGCCGCTTGAAGCGCAACGTGGGTAGGCGAGATGACCAGGATGCCCTCGCTGATTCCGCCCCGTTTACAATTCCAACTCTGTCGCCGGTGGACCGTTGCCGTTTCTCACTCGCTACACCGGCGATTTCTTAGATAGTACTCCCTCCGTTCCAAATTAGATGACTTAACTTTATACTAACTTTAATACAAAATTGGGTCATCTATTTTGGAACGGTCCAAATTAGATGACTTAACTTTATACTAACTTTAGTACAAAGTTGGGTCATCTATTTTGGAACGGAGGGAGTACAAGTGTGCCCGTGCGTTGCGTTGCTCGGGTGACAGTGCCGTTAAACGAATGGCTTTTTTAGAATGAAAAGTATGAATAGTATCATGAGGTGACATTAAGACCTACAAAATTTTATTCAACCACCGGTAGGGTAGACGCATCAATCAGTCTTGTTTCGGTTTGATATGTTGATGTCCAAAAGCAGAATTTTAGTTCAGGGATTGCTCGGATCTGCTTCAACTCCATGCTTAACCAACTACGCGGATCGGAGGCCTCTCATAGTATAATTTGGTGAAATTGCCGAAGCTTAGCTTTGTGAAGTCGAATCATATAGCTTAATATGTTTACGACGACAATGCCATCGCCAAGTGGCATAACTTAGTTCTGAATCCCCCTTCTGAAGAACCCAGTCGAAGCGCTATTCATGACGCCGCCGTTGTTCCCTTCTCACAAGCTCGCCACCGCCAAACCGCCAACCCTCCACCTCACTCTATTTAGCTCGCCACCACTCCATTGCCTCCCTCTCCTACCGCCGTCCTCCTCCCTTCATCACCCTCTTCCACATCATTGGCCTCCTCCCCAGCGTCGCCCTCTTCCCCGACACAAACCACCTCCCCGCCGTCGGCCTATACTACGCTCGTGATCAACCCCTCAAGCAACAGAAGTTGACCAACATGTCCAAAACGGTGCATCTCCTCCACGGATGCTGGAGCGCCGTGCTGAAGCTTCAATATTTCTAGACATTTCAGAATAGGCTTATATGTATGTTTCTTTCCCTCAAGTTGCCGCCCAATGAAATATTTTAGCATTGTTAACTTCAGCTAGAAATATAGTATATCTGTTTTGGTAATAGCTCATCTAAATAAATGATGTTTTTCATTGGTATACTCTGCACGCAATCTTTCATCAACCTCCCACACATTGATATAAAATCACTGCCATTTGACATTCAATCACCAATTGTAATGAAACTTTTTATTCTATTTTTTGCTGTCTCTACAGGGAATATCAAGGTCACGGCTACCAGATTTTTAGTTAACATAATGTTACAATAAAGAAATTTAAGGATATGTTACAAACTTCAATGTCACTACATTTACAATCCATATGTGATAAACAATAGTGGCCCGTAGCTCGTAGCTCGTACATGTACAATATCCATGTTAGAAGGTCCAGCACACTTTCCTGCTTCATCCTTACTAAAGTTAAGAGAATAGACACACAATGTATTATCCTTGCAATATGAGAGGCAAAGTACAGACCCACAACAGTATTTCAAGTAGGCATAAGAGAGAATATATTGCATTACTTCTATAAGGCTGCTCCCAGTGCTAAGCCTGACGTGTAAGTAGAAGATTGATGTGACATCTTAATCAAGGAGTAGAGAGAATCGTTTGGTAACCCCATGGAGAAACTATACCAGCGCAGGTACTTAGGAGAAAACAGAGTTAATACGATCCCGTGCGCTGAACCGAATGGTCGCCCCAACTTCCCCATGCACAGCCCCATCCGCCGCTTCTTCCTCGCCTCGCACCGTCGCCCCAGTGCATCACTTTGTCCTCGGTCTGCAGCGCTGCCTCGCCTCTGATTGTCGCCCGGAGCCGCTATCCCATCCCCGATTTTAGCTTGCATCATTGACCATCGCCCGGAGAAGGTCGCAGCAGCACCACTGGCTCCTCCGGTAAGTCACCACCTGGTAAATGGTAAGGGCAAGCCTGCATTGCGAAAGTCCATCGATTCTGTGTTTGATATAAACTGTAGTCGTCCATTGATTACATTTTTTCACAAGTCAAGTCCATCGGTTCCGAGTTTCTTGCCAAATTCTCATAAACTACAGTATGTCGATTTCTTTTAAATATCACGCCCATCTAATTTGAGTGTTGGTGAAAGACTGTTTCATATATATATATATATATATATATATATATATATATATATATATATATATATATATATATATATATATAAGTCTGTCACAATCTTTTTTACAGAATCAAACTGAGTTGAGTCCAGTTTAGAGTTAACAAGAAAAATTCAAAGAATCATTGTTTTTAAGGCGTCCTCCCTTGGACGCTTAGGCGATAAGGCGCCCTGACAGCGCCTTACAAATATGCCCGCCTTAGGCGCTTAGGCGTCGCCTAGGCGCTAGAGCGGGCGGTGCTCGCCTTAGGTCACCTTATCGCCTTAAAAACGATGTAGAATATAACCCTATCTTTTTGTAGAACCAAACTGAGTTCAGTTCAGCCCCAACCGAGTTCAGTTCAGTTTAAAACCAAAAGCAATTTTAAGGTATTGCTATCTAGTCATACAGATTGTCAAGCAGCAAGTTTTTGACACAATCAAACTAAATATTATTGATCTTATGGGAATGCACAAGGATGTATTTATCTGAAACCAATGATTCGATCAGATGAGGCTATGATGTATTGTAGATTTATAAGAAATTGGTTCAGACTGATAGAGTTCTGTTAGGATTTACAGAATTACTCTGTTTTAAGAAGCTGAAGCAAAATTTGAGGTACTGCTATTTAGTCATACACAAATTATCAGGCAACAACTATTTTGAAGGAATCAAACTGACTACTTCTATAAGAAACTTACTTGAAGTAGACACTTGAAGAAACATGTTTCCTGTAATCTAAACACTTGAAGTAGGCAAGCACCTAAAATAAACTGAATATGAAGCTCTGCAATTCCTTCATTGGTCCTGACATATTGGATCCTTCGCCATCTTGGGTTCAGGGCTCTTTCTTTCCAAGAAATTACAAAAATCTTCTTACTTTAGTTGCTTGTTAGCTGGCATACCATGTGTCATCTCATTCCAACAAACACTGGAGGACTAATAAACATAGTCCTGGTCTAGTTGAATTGGTTTCTAAAAAGGAAAATCATAATATTAAAAATTACAAGTTGTCCAAATAGAAAGATCAGTTTAATTTGACGATTTGACAGAGAGTTACAATACTGGAGAAACTGGGGATTTCCAAAGTCAACTGGCACCAAATAATAAAGCAAAATCAGGTTATACATCCACTTCTTTCTATTATGAAAAATCTATGCATTCTGCAAAACACTAAAATTGAAGGAAATATGCCCTAGAGGCAATAATAAAGTTATTATTTATTTCCTTATTTCATGATAAATATTTATTATTCATGCTAGAATTGTATTAACCGGAAACATAATACATGTGTGAATACATAGACAAACAGAGTGTCACTAGTATGCCTCTACTTGACTAGCTCGTTAATCAAAGATGGTTATGTTTCCTAACCATGAACAAAGTGCTGTTATTTGATTAACGAGGTCACATCATTAGTTGAATGATCTGATTGACATGACCCATTCTATTAGCTTAGCACCCGATCGTTTAGTATGTTGCTATTGCTTTCTTCATGACATATACATGTTCCTATGACTATGAGATTATGCAACTCCCGTTTGCCGGAGGAACACTTTGGGTGCTACCAAACGTCACAACGTAACTGGGTGATTATAAAGGAGCATTACAGGTGTCTCCAAAGGTAGATGTTGGGTTGGCGTATTTCGAGATTAGGATTTGTCACTCCGATTGTCGGAGAGGTATCTCTGGGCCCTCTCGGTAATGCACATCACATAAGCCTTGCAAGCATTGCAACTAATGAGTTAGTTGCGAGATGATGTATTACAGAACGAGTAAAGAGACTTGCCGGTAACGAGATTGAACTAGGTATTGGATACCGACGATCGAATCTCGGGCAAGTAACATACCGATGACAAAGGGAACAACGTATGTTGTTATGTGGTCTGACCGATAAAGATCTTCGTAGAATATGTAGGAGCCAATATGGGCATCTAGGTCCCGCTATTGGTTATTTACCGGAGACGTGTCTCGGTCATGTCTACATTGTTCTCGAACCCGTAGGGTCTGCACGCTTAAGGTTACGATGACAGTTATATTATGAGTTTATGCATTTTGATGTACCGAAGGTTGTTCGGAGTCCCGGATGTGATCACGGACATGACGAGGAGTCTCGAAATGGTCGAGACGTAAAGATTGATATATTGGAAGCCTATGTTTGGATATCGGAAGTGTTCCGGGTGAAATCGGGATTTTACCGGAGTACCGGGAAGGTTACCGGAACCCCCCGGGAGCTAAATGGGCCATGATGGGCCTTAGTGGAAAAGAGAAGAGGCATCCCTACATGGGCTGTGCGCCTCCCCCTTCCCCTAGTCCTATTAGGACTAGGAGAGGTGGCCGGCCCCCTCTCTCTCTTTTCCCCCTCCACGAATCCTATTCCAACTAGGATTGGGGGGGGGGAATCCTACTCCCAGAGGGAGTAGGACTCTCCTGGCGCACCCCTTGTGGCCGGCCAGCCTCCCCCCTTTGATCCTTTATATACTAAGGTAGAGGCACCCTAGAACACACAAGTTGATCCACGTGATCTATTCCTTAGCCGTGTGCGGTGCCCCCAGCCACCA